TTGCTAGTAGTGAAGGCGAACTCAGCAGAGATCGTAATTACGCTTGTTTTTGCTTAAATTATGACGCTCGGGATGGAGGATAACTGCATTGGGGTTCTTTTCGTGCGCGTGTCGTTAGTATGATTGTGAAGACAAAGTTAACACACAATGTGTGTATGTGTGTAGCCATGTGCTTTGCAATATGCGGCACAGTATGCGCCCGCAGTGCAAGCCGTTGCTGTAATGTTTGACGCTAGCGGAATTTTGAAGCGAGGCATCCGCAAAGATCTTAAACTTGGCAGTTTTGGCAACCGATTAATCTAAAACTTCAGAAGAGATCATATCAACGATATCAACGTAAAATACGACGCATGTAGTTACGTTAATAATAGAGTAGATTGTTCCTTCGTTATTAGTCGTAAATGAACATTCATTTCATTGCTCGAGAATTTTCAATCGGAAATACTGGTCGACTACCGCGATATCGTACTATCTCTCGCTGGATATTTGCTGGAAACGTGCACAAGAAATCGGACTTCACCTTAGAGCGACATTTCGCCTTAGAAATATTTCATACTGGGATCTTAGGGAAAATATCATATCCCTTGTAATCGTTTTCGCGCTTTGAATTCCTCCTTGCTGATCTAACGCTATGGCAATACGTACAAGGGAAAATGCACTCTGGCGATAAGAGACATCGGTCCCTATTTTTCTAGGGAAAAAAGCAAATTGAGTTATTATGGAAGGTGTTGGCAGCAGCTTTAAATACGTATTAGTAGGCCGCTTCCTTGGCTTGGCAAATATACCCAAGAAGGAACTTGAAGAGGCAATATCCGGTCTGGTTTGATCCGAAGTTTCGTATTAGCCACTCGGTGCACTTTTCTACTGCGAGATCCGCTTACCGGGCGACATTGCATTCGTGCACTTGAAAATTCTCGTTTCAACTTGAATTAAGAACGATTTCCTCGAGGCTGAAGACTGTAGTCGCGAACAGAGATTTAAGAAGATATATTGTTGCAATGGTAGAATGCATGTTTCAAATAAATTATACAAGTTGTAATGTATAGCATTCGATACGAATGTCTTTAACATTTAACTTCGTATGTGTATATATTTTTTGTTTTACAACTTTGATGACTATATGTATATAGACTGCATTTGAGGAGCACACTATTAGCGCTATTGTATCATTTGATCCTGTTTTACGTCTAATAAACGATAGAAATAGAATGACACATTAGTGCTGATAGCGCGCACTCCGAAGCAATAGTCTCGATCTTTCGGATTATCGTCTAGTTTGTCTGCATCGCGACAGCGATTTGAGTATACGATTTGCTGCAATCGCGGTGTACCGCGTTACGTCGCATCACAGCGAATATCTACATAAACGTCGCGGCGTCAGACAGACGCATTTCTTTAGCCGCCCATTCCTCTCCTCCCTCACCATATATGATACCGACCCTATGACTCGGTCACGTAACTAGAGCGTGAGTTAGTTCGGAGCGAGGAATGCAGCCTCCTCCCTCGCGTGAGCGAATTGACTTGGCGATGATGAAGAAAATGTCTCTCATAGTCGCAGAATATAAGAAATGACCTTATACTCTTTCACGATGCTACGAAGACAAAAGACAAACCGGCACGTATGTCGCGAATTTTCCATCTGGATATGCATATTTCTGTGTAATCGTTCATGATTCTTTTGATTAAGAATTTTTCAGAAACATTTTCAATCACTATGCAAAAATCTCGAGATCAAAGACTCGTCGTATATGCTTTTTGTCGCATAGTTTGGCGAATTCTTTAGCCAATTCGGAAAGAATTTTTCGCTAGTAAAATTTCGCTGCTAATATATGAGTAACAATAAACATAAAAATAGATGCTGTTGAAGTAAGATGCATCGGTTTGAATTTATCAAAGAATATGCAGATATGATTGTATTATATTTTATTTATGTTTTTTCTTAAATTTGCAGAAAATTAACTTTTATTCTTTTTAAAAAGATCGATGAAATTATAAAAGCATTTAATTTCTTATTACTATATTCTCTCTATTGAACATTACTCTTTTTATTCTGGAATAAAACATTAATTTGATTTGGGTTTATTCGGATTAATCAGAGTAAATCTTTTTGCATACCTTTGTAACTTATATATTTTTTTTCTTTTACATCCCCCGGAAACTTTAAGAATGAATTCTATATCTGAATATCACTCGATAAAGATATCGGCGAGAAAGATTGTAGACAAATGAGAAGTGTCACAAACGCAAACGATAAAACGTGAAATGCATGCGAAATTCGCATTATTGACGCTCGCGCTTTCTTGCAGCGCTTTGTTTCGCGGTCGTAACTACTTAAGGATGTTTTGTATATATTTGCAAGATAATCAAATTATGAAAAAATTATCAGATCATTCTAAATCATGTTTAAAAATATAATAATATACGACAAATTTGGTGATGCTTTACTATCTGGATCATAAGTTATTTTAATAAATAGTAGTATTTTTTTAATCTGTGCTCTAATAAAAATATATGGAAATGTATAAAATAAATGATAAAACTTTTCAATTTTTTAATATAAATACATTACGTATTCAAGATTATTGCGATGCGTGAACTAGTTCAGTAAATAAATATTTGTTTTATACCTTTGTAACTGATCAATTGAATCGCAATGAAACTTTGCATAAATTATTTGGAATATTTAAAGTACTCATAAATGAAAAATGTAAATTTTTTATCATTTTTGAAATTTTAATTTTTAACAATTAAAATAATAACAGATAAAATAAACGAACTACAAAAATGTGTGATTAAACGAAAATGTCTTATTTATACAACTTTTATATGTATAGAACTTATTTAAATTTGTAAATATTAAATATACTTTCAAATTTAATTTTCTTTACAGGGTCTAATACATCGTTAAATTTCAATCTAGCTTTCAGAATTATCGCGGATTCGTCGAGAGTGCACGCGACATTGCTTCGACGAGAAATAGCACGCATTATTGCAATGACGACAAAAATCGAGATGTTCGAAACATGGTATCATATGTGAAGAGTCCACTACGGTGCGTCAGAGTCCGATCGAATGAAAATCCGATTTACGTTCGACAATTTACAGTGAATAACTAGCAAGATCGAGGGAGGAATAATTGAATGCAGTTATACAGAATAGAGAAATTGGTTATTTATATTCATATCTTTCGAACATTTTCTTATATGTACTATATGTAACATTAACTTCTAATTGTGTACCATTATATAAAAAAATCAGCTTGCGCCTGAAGAAACGCAAGCTATAGTTTGTGACTTTCGTAGGAGAAAACTCAGAGACTACACAAGTACTTATACTTGACGATATGTTGTTAGGGTAACATGAGGGCAATAGGTCTCATCAGAAGAACTGTATGTTCATTCATTTTTAATGACAGAAGAACATAGCTAATAATACGGATGAAAAAATGCGTATAGATCAATACGATGAGTAATAAAAGTCGCGTAGTATTATAGACTTGTATGAATTATTGGAAGGAAACACTTCTGAAACTTTACATGTGACTTATATTTTATACATATACCCACATACGTGTAAAGGGTAATATCCTCTTTTGAACTTTACAATCTATCATCTTACAATCTATCTTTAACACACTTTACTTTTACATCAAATTTGAATATTGATCGTTAGTCGTTAGAAATTCCTGAAAGGTTTACCAATTGAAAATTGATCTCCTATATTGGAAGATTAGCGTACACTGAAAATTATTGGATTACAAAACTACAAAACAATAATGAATAAGCCAAGCAAAACATTTCCATATTCTTTATCTGAAATTCAATTAAATATTCTTTTCAGAGAATCGGAAAGATAATGAAATACAGATTATTCAATATTATAATGCTGATATATATTTGAATACAAATATATTTAAAATGCAATATGATCGGGCTCATGAAAACTATCTTAATTAATTTATTTTTTTAAACACTGTTCGAATCGTGTGTGCGAGGATATAATATAGTTCGATATATGTAACAAATATAATCTAAATCGATATTATTGCAACGATACATTTTTGCGTTACATAATGGCCGATTACATGTATAAAGTTATTAAATGATCGTTCCGAACGATCTTTTTTCTATAATTAACGGATAATGAGATATATTCATCTTTCTAGAGAATAAAGGATTAATTATATGTATACATATATATATATATATTTTTTTTTTGTAGGAGATTTTCTTCTATTTAATTTCATTAGCATTTTTTTTATTTCACTTTTTCCGTTCATTACTTGACTTACGTTAGAACCGTATATTTACGGCATGTTTCAGAGCGCGAGTAAAGTCTGGCGTGAAAATCCTGGATGCTTCATCTAGCAGCCCGGACTGGATTGTCGTTAGCGATGTCAATGTGAAGAACACAGCCGCCACGTTCACAGCGCGACGTAAGGAGAACTCGTCGCGCGTATCGAGCACGTAAGTACATGAAGTACCCCTTTGGAATAGTCCTGTCGCGCAATCTGCCCTCGTTAAACCGACATACGTCGGCAAGTTTAGAAAGACTCTTATTGGAATTGTGAACATGAGGGCAGTTAATGTAATGAGCAATTTAAATCCCTCGCTTCCGTTCGTTAAGCCGAGAATATGAACGAATTAGGTCTTGCTGCAAATCGAATAATACAAGAATTTCCGAGCGAACGAACGTTGAAAAGTTAAGACTTGTTAAATTGTGCTTTCAATGCTGCATAAAATTTCGCTTTCTTATTTTTAAATTAACATCTTTTATCACGTAAAGCGTTATTTTAATAGAGGTTAATATTTAACAATTGAATTTTTTT